CAACGTGGAGCTGTCTACTTAAGATTCTCAACAATGTGATTCTAATCACGGTGTCAGTAAAAGAATTACGTAAGCAGGATGAACAACTCGCCCCCTCCACCCCTATCCGCCCTCTGGGAAAAAAACCCACGCCCCACACAATTTCTCACAGAAAGCAAAACAAAATAATCAAAAAGCCAAACAAAACAAAACTTGGTGGCCTACTTTTTGGCCACTACACAGAACAGACTTCATTAGACACGGCTCAAGCGTACTAGCCGTTCTCTTTCTTTCTTTTTTTTCCCAAGAGTTTTATAAAATTGAATATATTTTCGACAGGAAATTGTGTTTCCGTCTCCACTCTTAACCTACATCTGTGTCCGTGCAAAACGCACGAAAAGATGTAGACAATTTATACAAATCACGGATCGAAGAGAAATTAATAAAAAAAAAACTGATTAAAAAACAAGTTGTTCTTTCCTTTTAATTTTGTTCACCAGTGAGTCAAAACGGTTTCCGCTATGCTGTCCCCCCTCCTCGCTTCACACCACCACAATCACACACAGACACACACACAGACACACACACACACACACACACACACGTATATATATATACGTACACACATACAAATTAACAAATACAAACTACATTGTGTCCATTGGGGCGTGAAAAAACAACAACTTGCATTTAAAAAAAAATACACACACGCAAATACGCCCGCACCCGAGCATTCACGCACACATAGAGTCATATGTTTTCTTTATCTCACCGTCCTTTCTTCCACCAAAACGAAGACTTACGGCCATTACCACAGAAAGTCTAACTAATGGCGCTGACTACATATCAAACGTTGTGTTGTTTAATCAGGGCGGCGACCAAAATGTCCGCTTAACGCCCGGTACTGTACCGTGTGACCTACAGAACGGCTTTTCTGTTCTCTCCTCTTTTTCTCTTTGTCTTCACCACTTGATGTTTTATCCGTTCTTTCTTTTTTGTCTTAAGCACTTGTCCTTAATTCTATTTCGCCACCATCTAGTAGCGCACCCGATCAGACTACGCCCGTTGTGTACCACTCTGTTCACTAGGGCAAAGAGTCAAAGAGGGGCCAGAGTAGAGGAGGTAGTGG